TCCTGGACCCAAACCTATTTGCAATTTCCCATTGTGTTGGTCTTGGTGAGAGGCAAGGAAAAAAAAAAGGGGGGGAGGGGTCAGAGGGTCACTCTGCTCACCTACTCTGGTCACTTGGCTCAGGCATGCAACTCGGTGTTGGGCAATTTGGTTCTCCCAACCAGGTCTCTATAACTTCTGAACTAGTGATATCAAGGTCCAAGGCTCTTTGGAAGTTATTAATAGCAAGTGGGCCTGTGTGGGCAGCTTCACAGAGGGGTTTTTACCAGACTGTTTCAGTTTCTGCTAGTCCCATAGCATATGGAGATGACTTCCCAATTTTTATTTATAGCTCTTACCTCTTCTCTGAGCTCCAAACATGTATATTCAGCTACTTAGTTGATAATTCCACTTGGACATTGTATTTACTGGACAAAACACCACAAAGGGGGTGGCTTTAAAGAATAGAACTTATTTTCTCACAGTTCTGGAAGCCAGAAGTCCAAATCAACACATCAGTGAGGCCTTGCCCAGCTGGGAAATCTCTAAGAAGATTTTATCTTGTCTCCCCTAGCTTCTGGTAGCCTCAGGCATTCCTTGCCTTACAGTTGCAGTTTCACATAGCTGTCCTTCTGCTGTCTCCCTGTGTCTCTTCTCCTACATCAGGACACCAATCAGACTGGATCAGAACCCAACATACTCCAGTATGATTTCAGATTAATTTAACTGATAACGTAGTCAAAGGCCCTATTCCCAAATAAGGTCACCTTCCCAGGTACCAGGGGTTAGGACTTCAACATCTTTTTAGGGGACACAATTCAACCCACAACAGAGATGTAATAGGCATCTCTCTCAGATATCATCTGATCAAAACACAACTTTTCATCTTTCTACAAAACTTTTTGCAATAGTGTTAGTACCTGGACTTCTGCAGTAACTTCTATGGTACGCTGAATAATGGTCCCTCAAATAAGTCTATGTCTCAATCCATGGAACCCATGAATATGTTACCTTATATGATGGGGTGGGGGGAAAGCAAAGCAACTTTACAGATGTGATTAAATTAAGGATCTTGAGATGGGGATATTATAATGGTTTATTTCAGTGAGCCCAAAGTAATCACAAGGGTCCTTATAAAAGGGAGGCAGGAGGGTCATTCAGTTGTTGGAGATGTGACAACAGAGGCAAGAGGTGATGTGAGGAAAGGGCCACAGGCAAAGTATAAAGGTGGCCTTTAGAAGCTAAAAAAAGGCAAGGAAACCGATTCTCCTCTGAAGCCTCCCCATAGGTTCAGCCCTGCTTGTTGTTGTTAAGTGTCGTCGAGTCGTTTCCGACTCATAGCGACCCCATGCACAGCAGAACGAAACACTGCCCCATCCCGCGCCAGCCCCACAATCCCTGCTATACTTGAGCCCATCATCGCAGCCACCGTATCAATCCATCTCCTTGAAGGCCTCCCCCT